AATTAACGAAATTAATTAATTTTAATTAAAATAAATTAATCATATTTATTGAGTTTGATTTGAGATGATTAGATTTATTTAGTTATCTCAATCAATGATTAGTAAATATGATTAATTAATTTTAATTAATCTTAATTAATATTAAGTTAATTATTTAATTAAGTTAATTATTTTGATTAATTAATTTTAACTTTTAATTAACTTAAATCTTGGTCATCTTTTATTTTATCTCAATTTCATCCACAAGTTTTATGATTAAGCAATTTAGTCCCAAAGTTTTGAATCTTTTTAAAGCAGTCCTTCATGTTTTCGAATTTAATCAAATTAGTCCCTTTAATGTTATTTGTGCTTATGATGCATGCTTGTCTTTGGTTTCGTCCATTTTAGCCCAAAAATTAAAAAATGTTTCAATTTGGTTTACCCTTCTTTCAAGCTTGCTTATTAAGACTTAAATACAAACATGATGAATAAGTTGAATCAAAACCCCCAATGTTAAAGTATGCAACCGTGTTTAAACGGAGGATTGTGAGGTGCGCATATGCCCTTTCTCACTCCTAACAGAACCCCCGAATCCCGATCTCTGTGTAGACCCGTTTTAGGTGACTTGTCCCATCTTATAATTTAGACGAGTGGCGACTCCCTTTTCTTTAATATTTTCACACTTAATCCCTATTTTAAGTGGTCGTCAACAAAAAGGAGTTGCCCTTGAGGATTCCCCCTGCTGATGACGTTGGTCTCTCATTAATTGCTCTCCGTGTGCAAGCCAAACTACATACCCATTCATAAAACCTTTATCTATCAAATGACACTGAATAGTAACACAACGATACCATTCGCCATTCATACATTTCCTGCACGGACACCTAATGCGATTTCTACTACAAAATTTTAGATTGGACTGGGAAAATGCAAAATCCAAGAAATACTCCACATTAAATTTGAATTCATCAACAAAACAGCCATTATCATCTAAACGATGATACATCCAATGTCGATCTCCCATCGTTTGAAAAATTTCCTTAAATTTTTATTATCAATTAAATTTTAATTAAAAAATTCATATCCCCACACAAAAAATATATTCAAATTTGATAATTTAGTAAACATATTTTATAACCTAAAATTAAAAGTTAATACAAACACTTTAACATATAATTTACCAATCAATTAATCAATCAATATAATAATAATTACCAATGAATTAATTAATAATTAATCGAAATAAATATAATTTAGAAATGAATTAATTAATATAATCATATTTTATCAATCACTTAAAACAATCTATTCATAATGTACTAATTAATTAATCAAAATAAACATAATATATATAAATCAATTAAAAAATAAAATCATAATTTTTCAGTCAACCAATTAATCAATATAATCATATTTAACCAATCAATAATTAAGAATATAATATTTTTCTAAATTTTAAAATAAAAATGTAGTAAAAAATTAGAACATACTTATAAAAGTGGAGACTTGCAATTCTAGTTTGGAATTAAACTAAAATCGAAACTTTGAATTTGATGGTGGACCTACAAAGAAAAAAAAGATTAATGAATTGAGAAATGTAAAAAACATACAAATAAAAATAAAAATTAGAACAATTAATTTTTGAAAAATAAAACAATATTTTCGAAAAATAACATAAAAAGTAGTATTTTTAGATAAATATTTATTACTATATATTACACAAATAATAAAAGAAATAAAATATGAAGTAATCATTCAATTAATTAATAATTATAATGTAAATTTACATACTACTTAATTAGTATATATAATTAAACCAATGAATTACTTGATATATTCATTATAAATTTACATATATACTAATTAATTAATTAATCAATATAATAATAATTTACTTATCAAGTAAATGATATAATTATAATTTAACAATCAATAACTAACTAATTAATAATACTTTTTTAATCTAATTATAATTAATTTACGTATCCATTAATTAATATAATCATAATATATAAATTAATTAAATAATATAATAATACCTACAAATTAATTAATTAATAATCAATCGAAATAATTATAATTTAGAAATGAATTAATTAATGTAATTATAATTTATCAATCACTTAAAACAATCTATTCATAATTTCCTAACTAATTAATCAAAATAAACATAATTTATATAAGTCAATTAAAAAATATAATCATAATTTTTCAATCAACCAATTAATCAATATAATAATATTTAACCAATCAATAATTAAGAATATAATATTTTCCTAAACTCAATTTTAAAATAAAAATGTAGTAAAAAAGTATAGCATACTTATAAAAGTGGAGACTTGCAATTTTGATTTGGAATTAAA